ACTCGAAATGAACCCTCGTAGGGCGGTCGTGTGGCGATTTTATCTTAACAACCCCCACACCTCTTTTGGCCGCCCTAACTGTCGAGTCTGGCTCTGTAGGTCACCGAATCTAACGCGTCCTGCCTTGGCGCTGAGGCGACAGGTTCTCAGCCGTCCGCCCCATGTAAGTTCATGGCTGATAGACATGACAGACTATGTCGCTCCTTTGGTCTTAAAGGGTCAAGAGATGAGGGGGCGGCCGCAAAGGGATATAGCCCTGGCTGTAACTGCTCACCACCATCTCCCGAAAGAGGGCCCTTTTTAGGGGTCCCAGCCTGCAGCATGATGGTATTCTGGCGTAGCCTGGTCTCACTTGGTCTCACCTTCCATGAACAAGGTGAAACAAACTGCGCCATCCATGCGCAAGATGTCTTTCAACCTCCTCAATCACTCTGACACTACCGAGGTACATGGTTTGGCCCGGGGCCGCCTCCATCCTCGCCAAACCTGATCATCGCCATTGAATTTTGGAGAGCTGCCGATTCCACAGCGCGGATGCCCCAGAACTTCAAAGCGGGGTATTAAGCCTCCAACCAGCACCCTTCACACCAAGTGAGCGAGCTGAATACCAGCGGCTTTGACGGAGGGCTGCCGAATCCGGAAAGCAGGCGCTTGCCGATTTCAAAGATGCATACCTCGATAGAGCACTCCTCATTGAGCATTATTTAGCGTCAACGAAGTGGATATTCAATATGGACTCATGAGAGTGGTTTATTGTCCTTGTGCACATGGCTAACGAGCGTTGTCCGAGATAGATAAGCATGCACCTTAAGAACAAAAGAAGCAAGGAAGTTCAATGTGTGGAACAATATGCCCTCTTCAACCTCAGTTCTATGCAGGGCACTTCGGCAGGCTGAAACGCGAACAAAGTTTGGGATAACGAGGCGCAGGGCGGCGTCACGACAATGAATGTTCTGCAGCTCAGAAGTTTGAATGGGTAATCTAACATTAACTGCAGACTATCTTCCTCCGTACCTTGGTAGACGGCATCAAGTTGGCCGAGAGCAGGAGAACAAAAAAAGCCGAGCAGGAAGGTGTCCTAGTGATGACCACATGCGATCGGCAAGACACTGGCCACACTCGAAGAGAATGGCGTCGAACACCCTCATCTTGAGATCTTCACTTGTTGTATGTGCAGGTTCCTGCAGGGCCGTCCCAAACGCTCACTGATATGGCCGAGACGGGAACATATGATTATATTGCTTGCAGCAGAGATACGGGATCGGATACTATCTCGCGCAGGCCAAGAAAGGGACCCTGATACAGATGATGCAGTTACGAGGTCGTCGCTAACGCAGAGCACTTTATCCGTGGATAGCGTCGGAGAGATAGGAGAGGTGAGCATCACCAGTCGGGTAAAAAGGCACACAGATCGCCAGATAAGCCTCGTTGAGAGAAGTGTTCGCAGCTTGATTGAAAGGATAAGGAGGACACGCGGGAGGGATGCGTGTCAAGTCCTAGAACAAGCTGGGAGAAATCAAATGGCAAACTTGCCAAGGAGATCAGGCAAAAGAAACCCCACTCACACAATTACATACATCCAAGTGCAGGGTTGGGTTAAAGCTTTGAGAGTGAAGATTCGCAATCCACTGGGGATATTACTCGATCCCTAGACTCCCCAGACCTACGAAGTACCCATCTTTCGTATGTAATCTACAAGTAGACTCTGCATCACGTCGTGGAAAGTTTGAAGGAGAGAATGATGTTAGATGGACGTGGCATAAAATAACACGACAGTCGAGGGATTTGCCAACATAACCCGGAAAGCATAGTGGGGCTGTGTCGGTACGAGGAAGATCTGGTGATCAACCGAGAAGAGCTTAATTCGGACAGCGTCGTGTACGAACTCCTTGGACCTTGGTATCATGGCCCATCGCTGCGTTGATAAGCGCCCGGAAAACGGTGGGGGTTCTTGTCATCGAAGAGGCAATAACATGCGTGAGGTGATCAAGAAGATTCCAATTAAACTCTCCATTCATCTGGAGCGTCTTAGCGCTTCGACAAGGAAAATTTGTCCTTGTCGATGATCGATGGTCTCATTTCGAAGAGCGCCAGGAACAATTCGAAGTCACTCTCAATGCTCTCTGGTGGTGCGTTGGCCAGGGCCGATTTAAGGTACTTGTAGGCTTGTAGCGTCGTGTGCTAGGCGGCCCCTGCGTTGCAATCGGCGCTGTCACCTCACGAACCAGGGACTGACGCCGGGCTTTGACCCATTGAGGATCGCAGAGGGTGCTAAGCCCAGGCTTGGCAGGGGTACTCCTGGCTAAGTCCTTTGGGCTCTTCGACAATGGCACCCTCGGGCCAATCAAGTCAAATAATCGCCAAAATTGGCCCCGCCTTTCCGGGTCGGGAAGCCCAATCACAATCCTCCAAGCGAAATTGCTGCCGCCCTCTGCTTCCCAGGTTGCAGAGGATGTCCTGCTTTTATCCCTCAGTCGCCAGAAACAGAGAGGCTCAGCCTCTATAATTGGTACCTCAACTCAGGTACCGTGCAGTAGTGGCAACGCTACAACGGTACAACGGCTCTGCGCAGTTGTCGCCCAATCGTGAAGTTCCTTCCCAAGTTCCTTTCGAAGTTCCCCCTTCCCAAAGCGTTGCAGTGTGCCCACGAATGGCGCCGGTGGCTGGTTCCCCCCTGGTGCCCGCCCCAACTAGGGATAATGAACCTACGGAGTAATTTCCCAGGGAAAATGTGCTGAATGCTCGTGGATATTGTGCTGTGCTCCCAAGTCCCCAATGCTCAATATTACAGGGGAGCCTCCTCTCCTTCCCGAGCCCATCGTGTTCCCACCCAACTCCGCTCTTTCCTCGTTTCCCTCAACCATCGTCCCTGCCTACGATTGCCCGACGGATCACCAAGTCAAGTCCATGGTCTAGTTTTATCGTTCCTTCCTCGCCAGATATCCTAACGAACCTTATTCACTCTTTTTTCACATAACCTGGAATATCAACTTCACTCTTTCAGTTGATTTCCGTCCGATCTTTAATACCTAATACCGCTCCAAATACGATTCTTCCACTGTAAGTGTGCCTGATTGTTGCACCACCACAAACTCTTCCCGTTTGCCTCCCCGACATGGTCCTTTCGCTCCAGGCCTTCCCGATCTCGCCCCGCTCGACGCATGCGAACGATGGAAACGAGTTGAGGACGATAAGAGAGGGAACCGCGTCACCGGGACGGTCTTGGAGAACTCCGCTCGTTGCCCAGGCAAGAAGAGGACGGCAAAAATACACACGAGACAACACTACAGATCCAACCTGACGAGATATACTAACACATGTCTTGCCCCAGCCTTCCTACGCCAACATACATAGCAAGCCGCTGTGCAGCTATTGTCTAATCTCGACATCCACTCCTTAATCTGCACGAACGCCAGTCTCTTTGAGTATCGAATCAACAAAGGGACCCGACGACAGTAACGACAGCGACGAAATTCTGAAAACACAACCCACGGAGTTGAATCTTTTTGAACAATTCCATTCTAAACCGCAAACATGCCCGCCCTCAAGTACCTTTTTGCTCGAAGCAACGTCGTCAACATCGAAGATGCCGACCACGACAACAATGACTCGAGCAATAGCGACGCCATCCGGATGATGGCTGGTGTTCTCTCTCTCTTCATTGTCGGCCTTATCCTTGCCACCACTCTGCTGTACTTCCGCCGCGTCAAGCAGCAGAAGAAGATGATGGAGCTCGGTAAACCTCCCGCGTATTCCGATCTCCACCCCTCGGGTCTCACGATCCAGACAACCGACAAGCACGGTCGGTCGAGCGTCTTCGTTATCAGCAAGGACGGCCAGCCCATGCTCTCGAACCCTCTCTCTCCTCCCCACTCGCCCGACAACGTCCCCCAGATTCGCATCACCTTCCCCGATGAGCAGGACGAATCCGGCAGGACCAAGAGCGGCCGTGTCGTTGTTGTCCGTATGGGCGAGACCAGTGTTGGCCTGGAGCCCGTCAGGGAGGAGCAGCTCCCTGTCTATGAGAAGGAGAACAACTCTCAGTTCTACTCGATCGACATGGATAGAATCGGTGGGCTGAAGGAGAAGGACCGAACTCAATTCCACTAGCCATGGATGAGTCTTGCACTGAAAGAGGACCGTGGCATTTACATTCTTTCCCTCCTTAAGCCACGGCTATTGGCCTTTTTTTATAAACCTCCTATCTCGACTTCATCTACCAAGGAGATTCTCTTTCTTAACGACTTTATAGCAACATAGACGGCGACTCGAAATTTTCGTCTTGAGGAATACACATGGATACCCTTCACTTAGGAAACAGACCAGAGGCGCCGAAACTGGGATACACATACCTGTTCGCTTGCACATGACCCGCACACAAACACGGCCCGTCTCAAACTCTAGCTCTTGACCTCTTCTCTTATTTTCTCTCTCTTTTTTTTCCATCCTTTCTTTTTGAAAGAGCGACAGGAGCGGGCCGTGGCGGTGAAATGTATGGGCGAACTAGGGCATTGAATGAACGACTTGACTTGGAACATGAAGCACGAGACGGCTCTCGAAAAGGAAGCCCACATGCAGTGTAGTATACCCGTGTATTACATTACATTCTAATGCTGTATATATAGTAATTTATATTTCCAGCGGCTCCCGCCGGACTCCTTTCATGACTTGCTTAATTTTCTTATTCCTGGAGTCTTGGCGATGAATCTGAGGGGACACTTTGACGCAGAGCATGACGCAGAGCATTGACAAAAGCACTTATTCACAGTGGTGATGTTGAAGGATTCGAAGAAGCACTCATCCTGGTCACGTGTGGATCCAAATGTGGGAATACCGGGCGGACCAATGTCCGAAAGCTTATGAGCATGCAAGACCGATCCATCCGTCGATAAGGCCCTTTCGTCCCATCACAACAAAAACCCTTCAGTCATTTTATTGTTTGTTCGACGAATCTGTTCTCGGGTACTACCCCCGTTCCCTTGGGGGGATCCAATTGCGCCATGTTATCGTACATAGTCGCCCTCGTGGCATGTCTCATCTTCTTCTCCAACCCGATCCTCCAGCTCTTCTCTCCCCACACCAAGAGAGCCATCCGGAGCGCTCGGCCCACGCTTAACGAGTCGCTTTTGGCCATTCCTGGACCCAATGACTCGTCGATTGCGTGTCCGAGGGATGCTTACGCGGTGCATATTTACTCAAGGGAGCCGTTGGTGATGTATATTGAGAATTTCTTGACAGAGGAGGAGAGGTCTCACTTATTGGATGTCAGGTAAAGCATATTTCATTCCTTTTTCATTTCATCTTCTTTTCTCAATTTTCTCTTTTTTCTTTTCTAGAAAGAAGGAGGGAAATGGCTAGAATTAAATTAAAAAAAAAAAGACTGGTTCTCACCGTTCACTTACAGCGAGGACCTCTTCCAACCCTCCACAATCACCAACAACGGCGATTCAACCCACCGCGACACCGCCATCCGCAACTCCGAAGTCGCCCTGGTCCCGCGAACCCCAACCATCCGGTGCATCGAGCGCCGCGCCCTCTCCCTCCAAGGCTGGCGCGAAGAGCTCTGGATCGAGCGTCTCCGCACGCAGCGGTACTTCCCCGGAGGCCACTACAGCCACCATTTCGACTGGAGCTCGAACGCGGGCGGGTGGGGCCGTGTGAGCAGCATCATGGCGTGGGTGTCCGTGTCCGAGCGGATGGAAGGTGGGGGCACGGAGTTTCCTTTGTTGCCGGCTCCGGTGTTTAGGGATTTGGAGACGGATCAGAGGACGGAGGCCGCGACGGAGGAGGAGAGGTTTTGGTGTCGGTTTTTGGAGTGCGTAGATGGGAGGGTGGTTACGGGGGAGGATGGGATGGGGGTTACGTTTAGGGCCGTGGAAGGGAATGCGGTGTTTTGGGCGAATTTTAGGGCGGATGGGTCGGGGGATGGGTATGCGGAGACGTGGCATGCGGGGTTGCCGGTTAGGAAGGGGGTCAAGGTTGGGTTGAATATATGGACTTCGGGCAGGATTTAACGGTGTTTCTGGAGGAAAGGGGGGGAGGTATGGGTTTTCTAGATGGGATCTTGATGATGAAATGACGAGATGACTGGCTTTGGAGCTGCCAGGAACGTGGCTCTACGCGCAAACATGTACGATAAGCATTGAGGTGAATGTCCGAGAAGAAAAATCATCATCATTAGGATTCCCCTGTGTATTTTGATTGCAAAACAGTATGCTCCAACGAATACTCCGTTTGCTGGAAAGGGCTAGAAGCCGCCCAAGTCTTCGGCGTAAACAGACCCCAATAGGAAATAGAATTCGTCTCTTGGATCCTCATCCTCGTCCCAATTCTTCCTCCACTGCTTCTTTAGCAGTTCCGCAGCCCCAGTACGCTCCATGGTCGCCGCATCCCAAAAGACGTATCCCCAACGCTGTATTTCCTCCGGGATGTAACACCCGACCAAGGTACTGTAGGTGCCACCCCAAATTATCGTCCAAGCCAACGGTGGTGCATGCGGCTCGCCGTCGCCGCGGAAAGGGAGCGCGACTCGGTCCTCCTGCATCTGATCTCGCTTAGACGGTTTATTCCTGTAGCGTATTTCCTGATGCGTTCCGCCGAAGAGGCCCTCATCCCTATTAACCGGAATGTACTCGGCCCACATATGCTCCTGTATGATGGTGACGAGATCTTCGTGGTCCTTTATATTGAACATGACCTCGTGTAACAGGGGAAGACCGCGCAGCGTCAGGCCTTCCAGATAATTTCCCCGGTCCCCTGTTCCAAGCGTCAGGAACGTATGTGAGTGAGGCGAGCTTTGGATATTGGACTTACACTCGCTATCAAATTCGAATGCGCCAGTTGGAGTAGGAGGTCGGTCTTGATCGTCGAACTTGGGATTGTCCGGATGTAAATCCCAACGGATGTCGTCAAGAATCTTGTCGTATATGCTGGATACAAACTTGTAGAATGAGAAGAGCTCTTCAATCCCCCATGGCTCTATCATATCGAAGAAAGCCGTTATTCGTGCTTCGAGATTGTCCCTCGGCGTCCTCACGGCACCTCGCCTAGTCAGTTCACAAAACAGCTGGAAGCGATATATGGCTCGTGCCAATCGCATCGTCTCCGTGCTGGTAAGAACAACCTTCTCCGGGTAGTTCTGAGGGTTCTTCCCTGTCTGCGCGGTGAGGTCGTCCAGCATCCAGCAAGCGAAGTGTTCGGAAATAGGCTTCACAGAATACGAGTACAGGGTAACCATGCTTAGAACCGCATCTCGAGGGAGCTTGTCCACAGGCGTTTGCTCAGAATACCACGTCACTAACTCAGCAATGACTTCCTTCTCAGGGTTGTGCTGAGGCGCAAACATGTAGACAGCATACGCGTCATCAATTGCGCTGCCCAATGTCTTCCTGAGGCATCCCGAGAGGACATAGTTGCGGTCGAAAAGATATTGATGATGAAAGGTTGGTGAGGCGTGAACAAGTGCCTGTAGCTGTGGGAAATCCAGAATGGACAAAAGATGGCGCCGGACTTCAGGCGGAAGGCTTTCAAGCCTACTATCGCATTTCTGCTCCTCTGCTTCTAGGCTTAGTGTCAATACCTGTTCTGCTAGTGCCGCTCCAGGATCAGACTCAATGGTGGTAGAGATGGGGTCTGGTCTTTGGTCTTTAGCCTTGAAGGATCTGATAGCCTTCTTGGACTTTGTGACGATAAGTTCTTTCATCTTGCAGTTTGTATGTGATGAGTTGGAGATCCTTTATGGGGGAGGTAGTATTTGGAAGGGAGATGTGATGGGAGGGAGATGGAGATGCAGAGATTATCGAGAGGCTAATGTTTATTCCGGCCACTGTTATTTTTATTTGTGCTCACTTTGTATCCTCACTTAGTCCCACCTTCCCAAACTGCTGGTATGAGTAGCAATCTTATAGTCAACATTAATGAGTCACCATTAATGGATGATATTGGAGCAACAGTTGAGAGATGTTGTCTGGGCTGTTACTGATGGATGCTGTGCTGTGCTGTGAGTCTTGTGACTCAGCGTCGGTCAAGGCCAAGGCGGAGGAGGTGGCTGTGAGCCCGTGATTCGATGAGCCAGCAAACGATTCGATAAAGCACAGGGTCCAAGAGTCAGCACCAAGATGCCTTGTGTAACAACTGGGCGTCTACAATTGTAATAATTGGCTCAGAGAAGAGATCAATTGATCAATTGATATTGGTGACCGGGCTGAGACAACATTGGAGAGCTCAGATAGTTGAGTCGCGACGCGCCTACCGATGCACAGAGGCACCAGATGGCAAAGAGCATTCAACATCATCTCAACCCAAATTTTAACTATGAGTCCTCTCGATACAGGACTGATCAAACTGGTCATGGGGCATTGTTTGGCCCAATCTCCAATCTTGACCAAACCAATGATCAGCGCGGTGTCGATCTTGGGACAGCCCTGCTCCCCGAGACTCAGCTCAGAGCATTGGAGGAAGCAGCTGAGGCCAGTCGATGCACCGCCTTCCGCAGGGTCCTAGCTGTTTAACTTCATATCACCCTACTTAGAGCGTTGAACATATAAAGCGGGTCAGTTAAGGCACCGCCTTTCTTCCCTTCGGGCTACCTTAGATATCTACACAACTCGCTTCCCAGATTTCAATGATGGCCACTCTGGTTCTAAATTAAGCCCGAGGGATGAGTGCCTTTGTGCGATGTAGATTCTCTGTTGCCTGCTGGACCTCTCTGGAGGCCAGCGACCGTAGACCTGGCCAGTTTGCCAGGGCTTCATCTCAATATCTTGGACATCTTGTTTTGGCCGTGGCGCCTTTTGTTAAGCAAACATGCTAGCTGTTTGCAGGCTGTCGTCATTGTGCCGAGAGGAGCTACCTGTCAGGACTTTGCCTGCCAGGTTATCGTATTGCCTTGTGAAGCCCCATGACACCTTTGCGAGAGCGCATATTGTATATAAATGCAGCGCCTGCTAGTGCTCCTGCTCCTGCTCCTGCTCTTGCTCCGCGTCTCTTGATCTCAACTTTTCTCCACAGTCTCTCACCAATAGACAAAGCCACAAGGCTCTCGCTAGCCATCATCCTTCATCGCCAATCCAATCTCTGTTTCTTTGGCATTTTATTCTGCAACTTCGACGTTGCTCTCGCTTCCACCCGCCCCATAGTCCTACACTATCTTCTTTCATTATGTGCAACCACTGCTCTCGGGCAGGAAAGCGGATCCCTAGGTGCCTAGACGGGAAGTTACCTTCCCCTATCCGAGTGTCAGCGGTAAGACATACCATATATCATGTCTAGTCCAGTCTAAGGAGATGCCAGCTGATGTATTTCCCGGTACCCTTCGCAGCGTTACCCATCGGAGGGACCCGAACACGAGCAGCTACCGTTTATGCCGGCTTATAGCCCGGGCAATTCACGTCCCGGTCCTAACTTCGCAACGGATCAAAAGGGACGCTCTCCCCCGAGCTCTCCTGCCAGCGCGGCTAGCTGTATCTCTGTCGAGTCGGCAGTTGAAACCGTGCACTCTATCGAGAGCTCACCGTCCATCAAAGAGCTGGCCAGCCAGCTCAACGGTGATCTGGAAAAACTTAGTAGGACGGTGCAGGATCTCGAGAAATGGTTCGAGCAGCTAAATTCCGATGGGTACAAGAGACGTTTACCGTGGACAGACGCGATGCAGAGAGCGTTCAAGCGCTACAAAGGTCTTGTAGATAAGCATACGAGGGCTCATCAAGCGTTCGAAAACTACTTTCTAACCACGAAGGGCTCGAACTCTAAGAAAAATGCGACTGCAGAGGACCATGTTGAGCGCGCTCAGCTCGCTCTTGAATGGGGTAGAGCGGCTCTGAAGTATGCTTTTTTTTTCCCCCGCACATGTTTCGCGAGTGGAAAACTAATAGTGGTTGTTCTTCTTCTCTAGAGCGGGAGAGGCCAGGGCAGATTTCATGGAGATGTACCGTAAGGCCTACAAGCTAGATGGAATCCAGGGCCATATCCAAGCAGTAGAAAATTGCGTCAACAGTGCCCAAGACGCCGTCGAAGAAGCCCAGAAAAATTATGACAGTGCGTGCTTATAAATCATACCTCACTTGTCTTTTTCGCAAGAAGCTAACCTGCTTCGAATAAACAGAGATTTGGGCCAAAGTCGGACTTCAATCTAGTCCCTCAGTCTTCCGCTTTTCGAGTATAATCTAGCCGCACGAAGGAGCTGGACTCCATTTTGCGACGTGTGTTTGCGGGATTGAGATTTCATTTGGGGGGGGGGGATCATTGGAGATTTGTTGGTAGGCTATTGGTATTAGTGTGCCCAAGACTGCCAATCCGGTCGGCGGAGAGTACAGTCCATGCGGGAATAGTTCCTGCGTAGTCAGATAATAGATCCAGTTTCTTACTGTTGTTCCTTTCGGATATTGTTACCTGACATCGTCGGTGCTAACTCGTATTGCTCATTGCTTGGTGCTCCTTGAAATGTCGTCGGAATTGAGATGAGACATGGACCCGGCCTGGACCTACAGGCTACACACGTGACTAACACGATTTTCGGGAGGCCAAACCAGAACCGGTCCAGGTCGGGCCCTGGCATCAAATCAATTGAAGCTCGGCACCTCCACTAAATTTCCAACCTCGTGTAGAATCGGTATTCATTGGTTACATGTAAGAGCGGCATCAACCCAATGCGTCGGTGCCTCGCGTGGTGTGTCTGAGTTGAGATGAGGCTTTGCCTTGTTCCATTGTCTCATGCCAAACAATCTACCTAAATTATTAAAGCATCTCTTAATACCTAATCTCTCTTTGTTCTCGTCTTTTTCAAAGCACAAGTTGAGAAACTCTCCGTCCTCATCAAATTCTCATCTCCTCCCACCTATTCTACTCCACGCATTTTTGTACCCCTCTGCCATGGAGGACCAGATGGTGCCCAACCATCCTTACTCGCCTCAGACGGCTGTCATACCTCATTACCGAGAGAATGACAAGCCATTATATTCACTCATTGGATCCTTAGCACTCTTACTCTCTATCGTGGCGGTGGGCTCGGCTGGCGTAGCCTCGAGACGGAACCCGAAGTTGTCTATCAATGAGAGGCTCATCGTCAGCTGGTATTCCATATGTAAGGCCAACATCACACACCTCATTGCAATTTACATGGTACTAACCTCAAGATAGGTGGGTTCCTTCACTGCTTCTTCGAAGGTTCGTTTTTTTCCCCCTCCCTGTTGTAAACTCCTTGCCAGGAGTTTGCTGAAACCAAGCCAAGCCCTCACTTCCGCAGTGTTTGCCTATTCCTAACGGTTGGCCATATTCCAGGATACTTTGTTCTCAACCATGCCAACCTGGCAAGCCAGCAAACGCTCTTTGCTCAGCTCTGGAAGGAATACAGTTTGTCCGACTCGAGATATCTCACATCAGACCCCTTCATGCTCTCTGTAGAGACCATAACTGTTGTGAGTAGGGGCCTCTCAGCTGCGTGAGACAAAACTGGCTGACATCTCCCCAAAGCTTGTATGGGGCCCTCTATGCTTCTTCTCGGCATGGTGCATAATAAGAGAAAGCACCATCCGATACCCCGTTCAGATGATGGTCTGCATGGGTCATCTCTACGGCGTCATTCTCTACTATGCTACCAGTGCCGCCGAACAGTATTATCGGGGGAATTCCCATAGTAGACCGGAGTTCCAGTACTTTTGGCTCTACTATGTGGGTTTCAACCTCCCTTGGGTAATAGTCCCGTCTTGTAGGTTTCCCTCCTTTGATTGCGGAAGATAACGCGTTTGTGGGTAAGAAGAATCCAAAGCTAACTTGAAAACAGTTCTCCTTTTACGGAGTATTCGCGCCATGAGAGTTGCCTTTGCTATGCTGGGCAGAGTACGGGGGCTTCTCACTGAACTCCGCGGTAGTATTCATGATATCAACCAGCGTAAGAACGAAGAGGAAGCATCTGCTAGCCAGAGTAGGGAGGATGAGAAAGCGGCCTAGAGCACAGGGTTTAGCGTAGGTCGATCTAGGTGTATCTCTCTTCGATAATGATAACGATTATTGTATACGCTGGACTGGTGATACATCCTCCCCCAGCGCACACTTGCTATTCTGAAGTAGAAGTGTTTGCACAAGCAGGTTCGTCGGTTGGTCCTTCCTCCAGCAAACCTCGTGATCGAGCAACTATTATGAACCTCATCGAAAATAATGTTTATTAGAACAGATCTCTTTGGACAAACTGGGAAGGGGCGAATGGACAATAGGGCTACTCCTCTATTCAAGGAGGCCATCTATTTACCATGAATAGGTTAGATTCCGTCAATAGTCTCGAGGAAAACACATAAGTGCTTCCCGAATAATGGCTGGCCAACTCGTTTCACTCCCAGACTGACTCGATCATCTTCGTCATCTATTCCCATCATCACTCTCCATTCTAATGGCCACCCGTGTTCCAGCAGGGTCTATTCATTAATCAAATCACAATCACAATCATCACATCCTTCTACTTCTTGACATCTTCGCCAAAGTCGCAGAGTCTTACCTTCCTCTCTGTCGGCCAGAGAATCACTATACACCCACGAGGAGCAACGAGGAAACACCTACATTACTCAGCCATCGATTCACCAAGAAGCCAAGATGCCTCACGCTACCAAGCCCAGCACCAAGAAAGCTAAGGAGGCGTGGACCAACTTCGAGCGGCGAGTCATGATTGGCCTCATCTGCAAAGGCCTCCACAACCCCCACGACCTCTCACACCTAACAACCTCCTTCAACGAGGCCCACAAAGGCGGAAGGGCCCGAACCTCAAAGCCCTGGTCCCCCGAAAAGGTGTGGGACCTCTACAAGTCAGTAGCCAGACGAGACGGTGACACGCTCCGACTCGAGAGGCGTGTAGGAGCAGGGCGCATTACGCGCAAGCAACGCCTGGCGCTGGAGAGGGGCCTCACCACGTCGAACGATGGCCGGCGTGAGAGGGAGAAGAAGTGGCGCCAGAAGAGGATGTGGATCGCGGAGAGGACGGGGCATGGGGAGGAGAGACGGGGCGCGTGGCTGTTTCTTGGGGAGGGCGCGAGTTTCCTTCCGGCTTTGCCGGTGCGTGGGCTCTACTCTACGATGCGACGGTAGAGGTGCGTTCTTTTCCTTTTTACCCTTTCTGAATATATTGTGTCGTTTCGCTAACTTGTTGATAGGTTCGGTGGGGAGGAGGAGGCATAGACACCCTGCGAAGAGGGTTGGGGTGACATCGTGACGAGGGGGTAAACAGAGGTCGAGAAAGGGTTTCTAATAGATATATGTATCGATATAATGGATATATATACCATGGCATAATGGAAATGAGTTTACGGTGGTAGCGGTACGCCTATCAGCCCTTCGTTGTGCACACGGAGGGTGTGGGCAGTGGGTAGTGCAGTGCAGCGGAGGATGGGGGCGGGAGCGTCCATATCAACGATGCACACCGTCGATGACGTTTTCCATGTGCCTTGTGATAAGAACGTCATGAATGATGCGCATCGGACCTGCCTCAGAACATGACTAGAAGCGTTTTCTAAAAGCTAATCGAGGCTTCCAGTATCATGGGATTTGCTGACCCCTTTCCAAACGTCAGCTTATGGTGAGATAAAGTGATGAGACATTTTCCCGCGTTTCGACGTTGAAGCAAAAGTTCTTTTGAGAAAAACGAGGCGAGCAGAGACAGCCGGAGATTGTATACGAATGGCGGCTGATGGGCCAGCCGTTCCAATTCCAAGGCCACCCCCTCCCTCGGAGTTCATCGGATTGTACACTGCGCGGTACGATGCTCTTTGCTCCTGCCCTACATCGGGAACATGGCGCTACACCTTGAAATTGAGTCAGGACTTCGGGTGCTTAGAGGGGAGAGTATGCGAGGCGCTATGTGATAATTTAAGGGGAAGGCGTGGTGTGGTTGGCGCATGATTCCGGTGCGGCGGAAAGCTGGCTGGAACGCATATTACACCTTGCAGCAGGGAGGCAGTAATATTCAATATTCACTTCCAGTCGCCCGGCAAAGTTCGGTGAAGTACCGATTGGCACTGATCAAACTCGTCACATCAAGTCCATCAAATCGATTGCATCGATCCTAGCGAGCCGCCAGAGACTGCTGATCCCTGCCGCCGTTGGCCACTTTTACAGAGGCTACAGCAAGGGGTAACAAACAGTTCCCGTCACGACCGAATTATGGATGGTATTGTGCCACCCAACCAGATTCCGAGAAATATTTACGAATCCGGTGACATCGACGAAATGCGATGGGATTGGAAGTGGGCGGATGGCCGACGACATTTCATCTTCCTTTCTCCCACCAGCTCGCTGTCAATTGGAAAGTACCAGTGAAATAAATTAACTTCAATTGGCAGAAGTCGTGGAAAATTCGGTCGTTAAAGTAGCAGTGCTCCGTTATCCGATTGCCACCATCACGGTTGTGCAGGAATGGAATGGGCGCGATGCGCGATGCATGATGGCAGGGACGCGACGAGGTGGAAAGAGCAATGGAAAGCGGAGTCCGAGATTGGACCCACCTTCGGAGCTAGACGGACGGGGGCGGGTGGGCCTTTCCCCGAGGACCACTTCAATTTTCACAGAGCACAACTGCGCCAGATGTGGAGTGCATTGTACACTCCTCACCCCTCCCCTCATTCGCACCTTCCTCGATCTTGGACTTGCTAAATCCTCAGTATTTTCATGTGCTTCCCCCACAAGTATTGTCGTATATACGAAGTACACTCACTATCTCCTACTAGCGAGGACCTGCCATCAATATGAACTGATAGTGAACTGACACATTGTGTGAACCAGGGTTCGTTTCAAGAAGGAATCGTTTAACTTTTCAAAATCCAAATATGATTTTCTCTAAGGTATATGGACGGAAGAAGAAGTGCTAATACGAATCTAATGTATGGAAAGTAACGATCTAACGCGTTGCAGCTCGACTGCATCCGGGGCCTGCACACTCCCAGCCATTAATAGCCAACCATCTTGCTCGCCTCGTTTTTTTGTTCCCGGTCAAATGCAACCATAAAAAGAAAAAAAATGAACAAATTCGAAAAACACGCCGAAAAGGGAGAAAGGAGAAAAAAAGACCCGAATACTTATACTCCCCCTTGGAAATCTAATCTTAGAACTGAATTTCATGTACAGTACAGTACGCACTCAACCGGGTATCGAATGCCGTCTTGCAACGACCGTGTCACCATCAGAAATGAATGGTGGAAAGGGAGGAACAGAAACAAAGAATAAAGAAAAGTGAACAATGCACAACAGCATGTCGGGAGGCTGGCGGTGCCAAAAATCAGCCATTGATGTCTCGGCGTGAAGGATTTCGAGCCGCACGCCCTCCCAGCCCGGCCTGAGATCCCGAGGGCGTCGAGCTGGTGTGCAGACGGGTCTGCTAACCCTATCGACGCACCGAAAGAGGGGTAGTCGGTGCCAATCAAAGGGATCAAATGGCTAGACAGGACCTCCCTTCTCCGCGGTGTGGGTGTTTAAAAAATAACTTTTTTTTTTTTTTCCTTCTTCAGCTGTGGCCAATGCTCTGCCACCGTGGGCTTCCAGTCCTTGTCCGCCTCCCATGTTCTCGCTTTGGGGAGGCCTAGCCGAACAATATCAAGGCTGACTTTGGGAAGCGGCCAATCCTCTCAACCGTCTGATTTCCCGGATGCGACAAGGCTCGTGCTCTCGGGAAAGTGGGCTTGTCTAAGAGTCTTCCGATTCGTACTCCATGTTGATGAAGAATCGTGGAATGGTGTTGCCACAAGAATTAAACAGGGCGGATAGGTCATCGCCAAAGTTTAGTAACTCGTGCCGCTCGTTAGGGTCCGTGCCAAGGTTGACGCCCGTTATGGTGAACCGTTTCGTTGCGTCGTTCTTGTATTCGATGTGGCTATCGAGCTGTTTCTGCTCTATGATTTGCAGTGTCTCTTCTTCGATGGCTTGTTGTGAAGGGAGGACTTTGGTGAGAAATACGTGGGAATTGGAGTCCTGTGCCAGAGTGATATCAAGGGACACAGCCATGGGCTTCATTGACACTTTTGCTTCTGGAGTAGAGGAAGCCAGTCGCGAAGACCGCATGTGCGAGGGAGGCGGAGGCGGAGGAGGGTCGTCATAGTGGACTTTTTCCCCAGCCGACGATGGTGGAGGGGGTGGTGGAGGTCTCGGGGATGGCGGGGGAGGCGGAGAAGAAGCAGATGCCAGCGATGCTAACGGCGCGAACCTCCTCGAGTGTGTAGACTTGTGTGGCCTTCCTGTTCTCCGGCGAGGCGACGATGGCTGGGCAGGTACAAGACTGACGAAGGCGGCTGGCCCCCCACAGTCCTCACCATCATCCCCCCAATCCTCGTCATCTGTGACAAGGGCCTCTGCGCGATTTACAGGGGTCCCGGTCGCTTCTGCGTCGCAGTCATCGCTATCGCTTTCTTCTGCTGTCTCGGCCTCCAGGTGGACTTCCTGTGGGAAGTCGAATCCCCGAGCGTTGACGTGATGGCTGGTGGCCCTAGACGATTTCCGCAGGAGTTCATCAAAACAGATGTCGATGGTGTTTCCCGAAGCCTCGAGGAACACGTCGCGAATGCCATCCACGGAACGAGTGACACTAACAGTCCATATATTGTCGTCGCTTAGTTGGGAAGCAAAGTTGAATCTAGCTTCGGGGTAGATCATCCTGCAATTGCCTATTTGCGAGAGGTGGTCACCACTCCAAGTCAGCATTCCATTTCTGGTATGAATCGTGTCCTCTTTTCTTTCCATTTTACTTTCCAGTTTCCTTTTTCCATTTTCTTCTTCTTATTTTCCTCCCCCTTCGCCTACAGTAAATGCATATCCTCCAACCTAGAGGGAAGAGACGAAGAGACGGTTATCCCATACCTATAATGATACAACCGATATCAATTGACCATGCCAGGCTAAGACCCGTCACCGGGTGCACCTCCGGGCGAGGTCCAGCATTACACGGGCCGGAGGTCCTCGACGAGGAGAAAAGGAGTCGCTGTGTCATACCGGCGGCGCCGAAAGCTCGGGGGTGGTGTGGGGCACTTATAAACGGGGGAAATGGGGAAATGGGGGGGTAAAAGGAATTTTATGTGCAAGGCATTTGGAATTTTACATACAAGAAGTCCAAAACTGGATGGTGGTGGGATTTTTAGGAATCTCAGGAGAGCAGCGGCGGCGGAATTGTCATGGATTTTATTTTGCCCCGGACCAGGCATGCAGGTGGAAAGGATCAAAAATGATGTTTTTTCCAGCCCTTCCAAGACCGGGGGCGTGCGTAAAGGGGAAGCATCGGAATGCGAGGTCAAGGGTAGGGGTACCTTTATCCATGAACTTTGCCAGCCTCACTTTTCAACTGCTGGTGAGGATTGGTGATGTATTACGAGGAGGCGCCAGCAAAACGAGACATGAGACGTCAGAGACTAGATGTACCGTCCAGTTTCTCCATCGCGCCCAAAGGAACTGAGGACGCCCGGGCAGCCGCAGAGCCTCCCTCGAAGTAATTCCTATGTAGTGGTTTTCCAGGGCTCGCGATATTTGTGGCCAATTTGTTCGTTGAGGCAACGGCCATTCTTACGGGCCTGTAAGTGGGACAAGGCCCCCCCAAATCAATGAGGCGCTGGCTAGCGAAAGCCCCCTCGAGCCTCATGGACAACATGCTGAAACTTGGTGATGTGATGGGCGTTGTGCCCCGTTTCAACCAACGGGATATGTCTTTCGGTGCGGACAACTTAAAAAATTCGCATCGATCTTTGTCCGCGAATAATGCAGAGAGGCTGCATTATCGGAGGCTTGTACTACTTCCAACTCTTCCAGTGTGCGACACCGGATGGGTTGACCTATGGGTCTGAGTCGGGAAGAGGGAGAGAGAGCCGTTATCTCCGTTCTATTATATGACAGCTCTTTTCTCGCGTCCGGCAGGATCCTGGTCGGTCGTCTTTCACTTCTAGAGTTTACGAAGGCATCAATGGCAGTACGCCTCGGTGTACTACGACTGATGTGGGACTTGGGGCCATCTCGCTAAACCCCAGGCCATCCCTGGCGCAATGTTGAGGGCGATCGCGTTCTCGATTCGATGACACAAAAAATCCAATCCAAATGCCGGAACTGTATGGAGAATTAACTTTTGTGATTCCCAAAAGTCTCAACTTTCACCGCTCTTTTCCAACGTGTCACTGACGCTCTTTGGTTTTGTTCTCGGGGGGGAGGGGAACGGTCAGTCACGATGCTAAGGACATATTCGTACATCAATCGAATGTATGCTCAACTGCAGTGCTGCACCTGGTGCAGACATGGCAGACATGGCAGACATGGCTGTCTAACATTGTGTGTGTGCGCTAGGGCACGAATATTGGGAAAGGGACACTTTTTTTTTTTTTTTCCTCTCTTTTCTTTCCTGTTGGGGGTGAGAATCCCGCTCTGGTTTAGTTCCACTTCCGCGGTGTTGCGCTCGAGGCGCTCATCCGAGACTCATGATCGTGAAGATCGACTGATGGGCAAATGCAGTTCCACGGTCCTCTCCCGGCACGCCGGATAAAAGTGGCGGGGTTTCCAATATTAGTGTGAGTACTTCGTAGTGCAGAGCGCAGAGTGGACGTCACGTCCGGACCAAGAAAGGGGAATCGTGTGGCTCGAGACACGGTCTCAAGACGGTAAGTGGGAAAAGCGTGGAGATCTCAGATGCTTCCCTGAGGCTGTCTGGATCATTCGAGAAATGATTGGCCTGCGATTCATGAGACTCAGTGAAGTTACAGCTTAGTTTTTGAGTATCATTGGCCTCTACTGCGAAGACAGCTGCATCCGAATCGCCCATGGAACGTGGAAGAACCGGCCCTGGTGTGGCGAATGCCACCGCAGAAGGGAGGAAAATCAAAAAGAACGAAAACGGCCAAGAAGAAGTCTTCCCCACAGCAATATTGACTGAATACCACTAAGATTTGTTCTCCAAGCCGCCAGGCCAGCCACAGTGACGCAGTTCATAAAACTAGAATTGCTACTGCTGGCTGGACCCAACCCAGGCAAAAAAGGCCCCAACCTCACGGGTACGACGCGGCTCTCCCCAGCCAACCATGGACGCAAGGCGAGGCGAGATTGAATTCGTCTGACCATGCCTCGGGACACTACCTTCGTATCTTGATATTTGATTTTTGATATCACCACGTATTATTATTGAACTTTCGAGGACCCACGTATTGTTACTCTCTCTCTCAACATCAAGACCACTCCCAGCTCGGCAGTTACAGGCAGGCATGCCTCGTGGCCCCCCGGGTTATGATAGCTACGAAGCACGTACCAAAAAAGAAAAGAAGACGAAAAAAGGATAGATTATGAAGCCACTAACGATCGACAACGTTGCCCGGCGCCGATCTGCGACTTTTTATTTTCCCTCTCTTCCCTCTCCCTGTCTCCCTGTCTCCTCTCTCCTCTCTCCTCTCTCCTCTTCTCGTTGCATTTCGCCTCGTCATAAAAGGAATGTCTTGTGGGGTATTTCAACATGGCAAGGATTAACTGGGATAAGAAAAAAGAAGCAAAAAAAGAAAGGTGAAACCAGGTTGGGTGTGAAGGTAAGACACGATGAAGCCATTGATCACGACTCCATGATCCCCAATCAACCTTCTCGCCATGTCTCAGTTCCACCTCCCCCCTCCTCGACCTCTCACCATTTCCAGGGCGGACAGCAACTTGCACCGTTGTCAGATTCCATGTTTAAGTGGACCTCTTTCGCAAAAGACGTAGACATGCTCATCGCCAACTGCGCGGACCGCGGAAAATCGAATTTTGCGATTGGATGTTTTCTTTTCAGCTGTCACGGCTGGATTTCGGTCTTTTGGAGCCCGAAAATCTGTGGGATTCGAGTGCCTGTTGTCAGCTTTGCCCTGACATGAGGGTCAACTTTCGTTCTTGTGCAATGGAATGGGTTTTCCGCCCAAGGGAGGCTCATAGGGCAGAAAACAACAGGGAGAGGCGGTAAACCTCGAGCCGTGGTTGGGCTTCCCAGAATGCAAAGCAATGCAGTGAAAAAGTGGATTAAAAGGAAAACGTAAATCGAAAATAAAAAAAACAGCCAATCATTATTTTGGAGAAATCTACCCTCCTCGAAGAAAGGAAACTTGCTTATACAGTAGGTAGCCACTTGTCTTACTTTGATGCTTGCCAATTCTGGACGTGTTTTATCGTCTTTCATCACACGCCCTCTTTCAGATCTCTGTCTTCCCTTTTCTCGACTTCCTAACTACTGCAAGCTCAGCTGCAGCTTCTCCAACCTGCTAGAAACAGCAGCCACCATAGCCTCTTCGCGAGCCAGCAGGTTCCTAACCGACTGAATCTTCGCCTTGCGAATCTCGTTGGGAACACGTAAATCCTGGCTCGACGAGGGCGTGTGCTCCCTGCGATGTCCACGTCCGTTCCTACCAACACCGCCGTCTTCCCCTCCTCCAATAGTTGTAATAGCGGCGGTGTCTTTGTGCAGCCGGGCCGCCTCGTCGAGCAGCTCCGTAGCCAACGTCGTAACCTCCTCGAGGCGTTTCCTGACCTGTTTCCCTGTCGTGGTGGTAGTGACACCTCGCTGCTGCGGTATCGGCGTCGTCGTAGTCAAGGCGACGTCCGACTTAGCCCCGAAAACGCTGCAATTGAGCCCCTTCACCTCATCGATCCACGCGCGTTCGTGCGTGCTAAGTTCCCTCTTAGTCGAGTGCATAACGGACTTGCGCAGGCTCTCGATGCGACGCGAGAGCTGCTCGTGGCGTGTCTGCGCACGCGCCACCCTCGCCTCGATCCTCTCGTTGTCCACACCCTCGCCGTCGGCGTCGTTGCCCGTAATCTTGTCGATCTTGGCCTTGGTCTCGGCCGCCTTGTCGAGGTGGTCCTGCATCTCCGCCCGCATCCTGGTGCACTTGATGAAGAGCTCCGACGCCGCCAGCCCTAGGCGGTGGGTCTCCTCACTAAGGATCTTATGCGCTTCCGTGAGGACCTGTAGTGTCAGGGGGCTGAGGCGCACTTCTTGGCCTATGACAACCTTGTGGCGCGAGGTGCGGAGCCGCTCGATGAGCGTGGGAAGCTGTGAGCTCTGCTCGAAAACGTGAGAGGCTTGGAAGGGCGGTCTTGGCTCGTACGAGTACAGGGGCTCTTGGGGCGGCGCGATCTGGATTTCGCGCACTGGTGTCGTTTCTTCTTCCTTGATAAGTGTGAAGTCTTCCTCGGGCGTATCGAACATGAGAACTACAGGGTCGTAGGGAGTAGCCGAGATAACTGCGTAGCCAATGTCCGGGTCGCTGATGGCATTGCATCCTGCAAGAGGCACGGAGACATCGGCTGATGGCTGCGTGTAGAGACGTTCCCGGGTCGAATTGTGAGCGTTTACGAGCAGGCCCAGTCGGAACTCGGAGCCAGCGCCTCCAGCGCCCTGGATCTCGCTCTCCAGTCGAAATACCCACGGCGACAAGGAAAAGTACGTGATTCCGGCATGGTGAGTTACGTAAAAGGAGTATCTTGACATCACGTCGGTAGTGAATACGGGCCAGCTGTCGGGGCTCGCCTCCACTGGGTTCATGCTATCCATTGCCTGGAAGGTGAGAAGGGTTGGCGCGTCCGATAGAGCCAAGAGCCGTCCAAGCCTGGACTTGTTCTTAGGCGGAAGCCACTGGGCCTCGACACCATCAAGGTCTAGGCAAATCTTGACCTGCCCACCGGTGGAGAGTAAACAGATGATACTCAGAGACAGGCCTTCCCTGTCGGTTTCATCAAGCTCAAGTTCGGTGTCCTCTCCGAGCATCAGATCATCCGCCTCGACCTTGGAACCAATCACGAGTATATCGGTAAGCTCGGAGTCGATATCATCTTCATTATCGAGACTCGCCGCGAGCTCAAAAGGCCCCTGAAGGCGGGGTACAGCGCCCGGCTTGGTGGGGCGGGTATAGACCTCAATGGGAGGTTCGCCGGGCGATGATTCGAGGATTTGGGGTTCCTGCGAATCCACATCGCCCATCCATGCAAGCTGCTGCTGGGCCAGGAGCTTCTCACGTTCCGAAACTGTGGGGTCGTCTTCGATAGCACCCACCTGGGTGACCACAGACACCGACAGCGACGCTATGAGCGCTGATGGGGGCGCCCAGCGAGAAGGAAGGAGCGGGCACAACGCGTATACATCACCCTCCCTCATCGCGATCCACAAGGTGAAGGGATTCCAGCCACCGGATGACCTCGAGCCGAAACACGCCGCCGCGACCTCCATCTCGAACGAATCGGGGGAGAAGCCCGTATTCGTTGCCGAGGTGGAAGCGGCAAAGTCTTGGTCCAGCGAAGTTCCATCGGCAAGGCGCTTGAGGTCGATGGACAACGTGGGGCTGTCGAACGACCATCGATCGGTTAGCGATAGCTCCCATAGCCGGACGATGGAGTCCTTGGATACGGTAACAAGACAGTGGCCATTGACTCCTAACGGATGCCAGAGGGCCGAGGCGATGGGCGAGCGGGAGGTGACGTGGGTAGTGGGGCCAAGAGTCCAGATCTTGGGTCGAATCGGTTCGGTATCTTCGCTCGTGAGGTGACTGGGGTCTGGGATGAGGCAAATGTGAACGGTATGCGAGGTTAGAATTGCTAGGAGGCTTTCGTTCGGCGATATGATGAGTTGCCTAATGTCATCTGCAACCGGGGTTTTCAGGATCTACAAAAATGCGTTATTCCCAAACGGTTAGCATGGCTGTAGCCACACGAAAAGAAAAAGGATGAAGGAGGAGGGGAAAGCTTGGAAGAGAAGAAAAGACATCCTTACCCGGTATCCGGCGGCACGATTCTCGACGTCGTCCTCGGGCGCATTCCCATTGGCACCCGAGCTTTCCCGCTTGATGCGGAAGCTCGCCCTGTTTTGCGCATGCTTCTCCTTAAGGTAGACAAGGTCACCCCATCGAATTTCCCTACCATTCGCTACAAAGATCTCGGTACCTCGACGGGCGATTGTACGCCTGGGCCCGTTTGGCGCCTTCTTCTTCTTCGTCTTGGCAGTGTAGGGAGAGGAAATGGAAGTCCGAGACGCGTCGGCCGAGGGCGAGAATAGGCTGTGGCCAGGGGAGCCCTTCGAAAGCCACGAGGGCGTGTAGCTTTTGACCTTCATGGTTTCCTCTCTCACTTTTTTCACCAGCCTCGCATATCAGAATATTATGACACGATATTTAATAGGAGGGAAAAAAATGCCCCGGAGAAGGCGAAAATGAAACTGAAAAGAAGGGGGGGAGGTAAAAACCGGGAAGTGTGATGCTCGATTGTGTGATTCTGTACCTGACTTGGTGAAGTGCGTGACGAAATTTGCTTGAAGCTGTCAAGATTTCGTCGGTGGCAGGTGTTTTTTGGGCTCTGACGCGGGAGCGTAGCATTGGCACAATGGAGCATTGCGACTGGTCGCCCCGGAATCGTAGCCTCGTCCTTGGCTAGGTAACGCGAGGGAGACAGGGGTACATTAAAGTACTTTAAAATGCACATTATTATTAAGTTTTAATAAGTACCAAAAGGGTTTCCTTGCCTGGCAGCACAGCACCTGCAACCTAGAGCTCCCCACAGCGGGGCACATTGATAAGTTCGGCCAATCATAGGCACTGTCTCCCTTGTACCTTTTGGAGAAAGCAGGAAACATTTCAGACTTGTCTTTTTCCTACTTAATTGACCAAGACATGCATATTACCATAGTACTTTAACGAGGCGAACATCCATCTTGACGGCGAGAATCCATCGAACCTCAAATCCAACTTCTTCTTGCGCCCTGAGATCCCACCCATCCTTTCATCCATCATTTACCTGTTTTCACCCCGCCATTGGACGCCATGGCACCGTACGTCCGAAGCACCGTCGATCGCCTCGACAGACCTAGTGCCTACTTTCAGAGTCGCGTAAGTACTCATCCTTAGAGGACACCTACATCTTGGCCCGCCTCTGCGAATACCCATGAGAAAGAGACCAATCTCAAGCTGACACGTCTGCACGCACCCCTGCAGAACAAGCGCAGGAGAGATCACAGGGAACGTGATCGTGATGGGGATGAGAACATGAAGCTCGAGCCCGAACAGTCTCCGGAGGACCCTCTCAAGGATGCTGCTACCCTCTATGTGGGGAACCTGTAAGTCTCATCACATCTCATTGCCATGGTCTTCCGAGACCTGATACTATGAGTCTTTTTTACTTGCCTGAACGGGAGGGAGAGCATCTACGCAAAACGTCATGTCTCATATAGGTTGAGATGAGATTTTAGACTCTAACTCCTTCCCCAACAAATATCCTCTCTCGCCCTATCTCATGCAACATTTCCATGGACGAAAAGACAAGCCAGTCTAAGCCTAGTTCTCACACCCCACCTCTGCAGATCCTTCTACACAACCGAAGAGCAAGTCTACGAACTCTTCAGCAAAGTCGGCGAGATCAAACGCCTCGTAATGGGGCTTGACCGCTTCACCAAGACCCCATGCGGATTCTGCTTCGTGGAGTACTACACGCATCAGGATGCCCTAGACTGTATGAAGTACATTGGAGGCACCAAGCTCGACGAGCGCATCATTCGCACTGATCTCGATCCTGGCTTCGAGGAGGGTCGGCAGTACGGTCGTGGAAAGTCGGGTGGGCAGGTGCGCGACGAGTACCGTGAGGATTACGATGAGGGGCGGGGAGGTTTGGGGCGGGCGTTGCAGTCGGATAGGATGAGGGATGTGGAGAGGTCAAGAGATGGGGGAGCAGAGTATGGGAAGGAAAGATGAGAGGAGGGGCTGGTTCGTCACCCTCGTCAGAGTGACAAAGGGGATGGGAATCTATTCGTTAATAATGGGGCACTCTTCGTTTGTATGCTTGTACGCTGTTCAAAAAAAAGTTTTTCATGGTAGATTGTCTTCAAGTTCTATAATATACCAAGGTTCTGGTCTGATCAAGCATAATCTTGAATAAAACAAGGCGTTTGTTTGCTCGAAGAGGAGCCATCTTCCCCATTTCCCCATCCTATACATATAATAAACATATTGTACAAGGGCCAGCTGAGATGTGAATGCCCGAGAGTTGTTTTCCACTTTCGCAGTGTATTGTGATCGTATCGTATTCCTCCTCCCAACGAGTTCGGCGTGCCGTAGACAGTACCTTTGTCCCTCTTGATCCACCGTGGAAGGCACCTCTTCTCCATTGCGTGCAACTGCGTGCATCGGTCCAACTTAGTAACCGGGGGGGTTGACTCGCTGAGAAACCCTCGTCCACTTCGGTAGCTCTACAAATCACAGATAGGTTAGCAAGTCTCTTTCTACCTTGGTCGCGTGTTCCAAGCCATCCCAAATCTCCCGCAAAGCTGGGCCTTGGTACACAGCTCAAGGAAAGACGAGAAAAGAGGGGAAAACAGCGTACTGTGAATTCCCTTCCTATACCCTTTAACCTTCCTATCAAACATCGTATACTTATCCCTCGGCAACATCTCCGCTTCCGTAGGCATCTCAGCCTTCCACCTCTCTAAAGCCTCCAGAGTCTCCCCCTTCTTCGCCAGCGCCGCGTCCAGCGTCGCGACCACCTGGTCCACGGCTCGGAGCCTCATGCGCTGCCGCCTCTTCTGGAACTTGGACAGACGCCAGGGGATCTTCCAGAGGAGACCGCCCGATAGCGGCGAGGTCATGCGGAACGGGCCGAACATTGTGGGAGAGGCGTTATCGGGTCGACGGGATTGGCTATCGGAGGTGGGTTGTTTGAGTCGGGGAAAAATTGATCGATTGTAAACCGACGGAGGGAATTGAAATGGTCGGTTCCTCCTGTCCGAGTCGAGGGCGCGAGGTCAAGAGGATGCGAATTGATGGGAGCAGCCTCGTGTGACTTTTTTTTGGGGGGGTCGTTGAAAATTAGAAAATGTCCTAGGCTTTGGACGAGGTTCACTGGCGTGTTGGAATTTGGGCCAATCAGAATGGGCAGACCTGTGAAAGCCGCCATGCAGCGCAACGCCCCACCAAGATGACAATTAATTGAGGTCGCAGCATCTCCCAAGCTTTGACTCCTGGTTGGATTTCACGAATAAGCTCGCCGAGAAGACGAAAAGAATACGAGCCAATTCCACGAGCGAAGTAGGCGCTTTCCTTGCCTCTTCCCCCTCTTGAAGAAAACCAGGGGGATACCTAAGCAATAAAACCCCAAGGTCGAAGCACAGAAAATACCCCCATCTTTCGCCATGTCCTACTACTTCGTCATCGTGGGAACCCAGGACAACCCCCTCTTCGAGTACGAGTTCGGAACCTCTAAACAAGGCGGCGATGGCTTGGCCCACTTTGGCGAGCAGCAAAAACACATGACGCAGTTCATCGTGCACAGTTCCTTAGATATCGTCGAAGAGGTGCAATGGACATCGGGTCAGATGTGAGATCCCCCCTCGTCCCTCCCCCCAATCCCTCCTCCAATCATTCACTCCCACTTGAAGCGAAACGAGATAAAACTAATACAAGGCATACAAACTGCGTTTCTAGGTACCTCAAATGCATTGACAAATTCTTCAACAACTACATCTCCTGCTTCATAACCCCCAGCAACGCCAAATTCCTCCTCCTCCACCAACCCACCTCACCGACCTCCTCCCTCCCCCTCGGCTCCACGATGACCGGCTCCCTCGCTGCCTCCACCACTCTCTCAGTGCCGCCGGCCCCTACTGCGCGCGCGTCGACGGCCATAGGCGCCAACCCGACGGGCCTCGCGACGGAGGAGGCCATACGGAATTTCTTTACCGAAGTGTACGAGAATTGGGTCAAGGCTGTTATGAACCCGTTTTATAGGGCGGATATGGAGGTTACCAGTCCGATTTTTAGGCAGAGGGTTGCTGCGGCGGGGAGGAAGTATCTTTGATGTCCTAGGGAGATTCTCTTCGCCGCTTTTAGGGATATTGCTGCCTAGAGGGGAGATATATTCGTGAACGAAGGAGTGGAATGTGGTGAGGTAGACGGAACATGGCGAGAGGATGGATATTGTCGCCCACCGGATGGGATATGACTATGAACTACGAAGTAATGAATACGGGAGTTTATGTTTGCTCTCGGGAAAATAATAGACATTCCTCGAAGGGGCTTGCTTGGGAGAGTCGCGAGTGATGACATCCCAGCCGCAGCCTATTCTACGTACTACATCGTCCGTCAAAACCCTCCTTCACCCATTGTTACCCTGGTCCAACTCACCACGACATTAGGCCCAAAGGAGCGAAAAGCGAGACGCGTCGCTACCAAAACAGACACTACAAAATCAAAACAAAGCACGTCTACATACTTCTGAAGGCACAGAGATATTCATTTCGGATCAAGGCCATCGAATGACCGCTTGTTTCATTGTAGATAATCTCGCCATCTACCGTGACGATCATAATCCCCCAGTGTCGTAATGTAACAAACCAATAACCTCCCCCAAACGCCAAAGGACACTGACTCATCCGCGCGTCCCATTAAAACACAAAGTTCCGATGCCATTTGTCCATTTCCCTTGAACAGTAAAAACAGAGTAAAAAGAAAGTTATTTGCGTATTCCATCCGCTCGCTCTTTCAGAGCCGAAAAAAAATCCCGCACCCCAAAAGAATAAAACGCGTGGTGATATACATGAGGGGGGAAGGGAGAAGAAACGGCTGGCGTAGAGGGCGCGTTACGTCTTGAGAGGAACACGCGTTCGTAGGTAGTGAGGAAAGATGTTTAACCACCGAAACCGTAGAGGGTGCGGCCCTGGCGCTTAAGGGCATAGACAACGTCGAGAGAGGTGACGGTCTTGCGCTTGGCGTGCTCGGTATAGGTGACGGCGTCACGAATGACACCCTCGAGGAAGGACTTGAGGACACCACGGGTCTCCTCGTAGATCATGGCAGAGATACGCTTCACACCACCACGACGAGCGAGACGTCGGATGGCGGGCTTGGTGATACCCTGGATGTTGTCACGAAGAATCTTTCGGTGACGCTTGGCACCGCCCTTGCCGAGGCCCTTGCCGCCCTTTCCGCCTAGAGAAATAGAGTCAGCACACAATACTCGACGATAATAATTGAAGATGCCACCACACGGCTGAGATGGGTCGGTCAAGGTCGTGATGTTGAAGCCTCGTAGATGGGGCCTCTGGTGCCACGCATCACGACGCGTCAAACCCGACCGAGACGCCGCAAGCGCTGGCGACGTGGGGAAGGATACAGGACTGAAAATACTTACGTCCAGACATTGTTGATGAGGTTAATTAAAAGTGAAGATACTTTAAGTTGATGGTTTGATCCGAAATGCGGATGAAGTTTGATGACGTTGTCGGGATGGTGATGTGGTGTTTGCAGCGAAGAATATACAACCAAGTGGGAATGGAGTGGGGAGAAGTTTTGGGGAACAGGCGGCGTGTGGAAGAAATAAATAGGTGAGAGGGGGGGCGTGTCAGTTGGTCACGGATCAGTAAAAAGGCTGCCGAGTGATTTAGGTGACAATTGCTTGGCTAAGCCGGATCAGGAAATTGGCCAAAATGCGAAAATACTGTGTCAAAGTACCTCTTGTTAAATTGATTTATTTTGCGAGGTACCGATTTATTCAGGGCGCTGTTTTATTTTTTGGAGGGGCGCAATATTTTTGCTTGGAAAATGCGGCGTTTTGGGGCCCGTGTTTGCTGCTCCTTTGACGCGCTTCCTGTTTGGGTTCTTCTGCTAGGGGGAATTGGATGGTCCACTTATTTTCTCCCTTGCTCCATATCTTTGGGCGCCATATTATTGGCTGCCGACAGTTAGTCAGCAGCTCCAGCTCTGTGACTCCCGCTATTTCTGCCTGCAGGGGACCTGGACTAGCACCAATCTTGCCACAGTGCTAGGAAAGCTCTGGCTCAGCTCGGATGATTCGCCACAATCAATTCATCTCGCCCAGATTGCTTATGTCATACTGATCTGGGGTCAACAACGTCCATCACACTCTCAGCCACGCGTCGCGTCCTCTTCCTCCGCCTCATCCACATCCAGCACGCTTCAAGCCTCCATCTCGACGTCTCATTCTTTCATCTTGCCAGTTGGCAAGTAGTCACGGCTTGTACCCACGAGTCTCGTCCTCTTTACCAGATAATATCTATATTGTGTACTTGATAAGGCTGTAGGATAGCTTCGGCTCATGCCGACTCCCTCCCGCTTCCGTTCACTCTCGCCCTCTCCTCCCAGCCTAAGCAAGTTTGGCGTTGATGCGTCGTGGCATGGAGCAAAGAAAGTCCCCTCAGGTGTAGAGAGAATATTCATTTTCCTCAAACCATCGCTCCCCTCCGGCATATATCCCCTGCAAACTGTAATAGCTATTAAACCCTCCGTGAATTCGTCCCCTTCAACTTGAGGCACCCGTGGAATATACGTCACGTTGTGCATTTTGAACCGTTTCCTCATTTTTCTCGCTCGAAACCACGTCCTGCTATGCCATTCTAACCTCTTGCAGACTTATACTTTCACCCCCACGCCCAGATGTCCGATATCAGTCCTCGTAGATCTCCGGTCCTGTCGGTTCACGGTCTTCAAGGCCCTCGATGGCCTCCTTGATCTGCGGCGATGCCTAAAAGGTGAAATTATTTTTGTCAAATTAGTTAATCCATGCTCCCTTTCGCGGTCGTGTGTATGTCAATGTAAATCCAAAGCTTACCTTGGGATCCAACGCCAGTGCAAACGTATAGTGGCGTATAGCCAACCCCTTCTCATTCGTAGATTTGTACAGGTTGCCGAGTAGGAAATGTACCATTGCCTCATCGGGGGCGAGATCTCTCAAGATCATGAGCTCTTCCTTGGCCGGAACCAAGTCGCCCCTCGCGAGAAGTGCCCTCGCCCTCTTGAATCTCGGCTGTGCCGCCTTGGGAGTCAGCTCCGTCGCCATGCCGTAGTACCGAAGCGCCCGTGCCAGGTGATTCTGCTTCTCCAACATGCTTCCAATGCAACACGCCAGCACGGCGTTCGTAGGATTAATGTTCGCCGCGGCGAGGTACTGGGTGTGGGCTTTGTCAAGGTTCCCCAATCTCTCGTGTACCTTCCCGATGCCGTAATGTGCGTTGTAATGACGTTTGTCTACCGAAAGAGCCCTTCGGTAGGCTCGGAGGGCCCTGTCGTAATCCTCAGTTGCCATGTATTCATGACCTTGCAGCGTGTAGGCATACGCCATATTTGGGTCCAGCTGGGCGGCCCTCTTGAAGCATTTCACGGCCTGCTCGTGCTCTTCGGACTTTGACCAGGCATTGCCGAGAGCACACTACGCTTGTGGCGAGTGCCAGGATAAATCAATGAGCTCGTGGGCGAGGAAAGATAGGTCCGTTTCCCGGTTCAGGTGCCAGAGGACTGTCGAGTACAAGTCCATGTCTTGATGTCGAGTCGGGGCCGCTGCTTTTAATTTTCGAAATACCTTCTCTGCATCTGCGTAGGCAGCCCGCTCAAAGTGTGTCCGTCCCATTTGTGCCAGTACCCAGGGGGTTTCTTGATGCGCCCGGGGTAAGCGCTCAAAGGCTTTGAGAGCATCTGCGCAGTCGAATTTTGAGAGATGGTAGTGCCCAATAGCCATGACTTCGAGCAGGTTCATAATGTTCTTGAGGGCGGTGTTTGTTTTCGACGAGTTCTTGTCGCTATACTTGAGTGAGGTCGTTCTAGTGGGCCTGGTTTCCGGGTTGGAGCTGCCGCTTCCGAGAAGGGGATCTGGGCTCTCCGTTTCGATTTGGATCTCGTTTACACCACCAACGCCAGTTCGATCTATTCTCGAGGTGTTAGGTCTCTGACTAGCAATTCCTAATGTCCGTAATGCGAGGCGTCTAGCCCGCTTCGCTGCCCTCGTCTCCGGCGGACTGGAAGCCCGGGAGACTCCGTTATTAAGGTCAGTACCACTAGTCGTAGATGGATGTGTCATGTCCCTAGGATGGGCATCGGCTTCATCTTGCTGTGCATGCGGTTCATTCCTTTGCGACGAGTTGGACTGCGCCAGAAGTGTTGACAGCGTTCTCTTCCGCTCTCTAACCAGTACCGGCGCAGTTGCGGCTCCTCTGTGTGGTTCTAACCCCTGGCTTTCACCCCGCTGCCTTCTCCCTAGTCTAAATGTTCGGGAAGCTTCAGATCTAGAAGCCAGTGGCGAGTCGACAACTTCTCTCGGACCTAGGGCCGCTGTATGCGGTCGAGCCCTGCCGTCTAGGCCTTGGGCAGTCCCAGGGCGGACCAGTCTCGTGAGTTCCCCCGTTTCAGATCTGCGCGTTGGTGAAACATCTCGGTCCCGCCATCGGCCTCTACTGGCTAATGTGACAAGATTCGACGTTAAACTGGTTTCTGGCGTTGTCGGCGGGCGGCTACTCTGACTACCGGCTCCCGATGCTGTTGAAGCTTGGAAATGACTAAACGCATCGTTGCCGTTTATTGGGCCGGAAGCAAGTGCCTTTCGCGACGGTGGATCAGGCTTGTTTGTGATGGGCCTATTGGACGAGTCTTTCATTCCCGTCCCTACCCCTCCCAGATCAAAGATCTGAGTTATTGTGTCTGAGAGCTTGTAGATGTTTGGTACGTTGACATTCACACCCATGGCACAGAGAGCAGTGAAGGCATCCCACATCAACGGATTTAGTTTGAGTGCAGCGTCGAAAGTCTCACCAGCCATTGCCGTGTCACCGTATCCAAGATGTAACTTGCCTAGGAGGCACAGGACCGCCGGTGCATCTGGAAACGGGCTCCTTATAGTAGTCCCATGCTTGCCCATGTTCGATGTCTGATGCCAGAGCACCTTGCACTTGTTCAGGACAAGTATGCCTTCCCTGTATCTCCTCAACCGGAGACAAGACTGGGCGTAGATCCAAGAACAACCGAGATGGCTCCCCTTCAACGCAGCAGTCTTGGCTACTTCGAACGCCGAATGGAAGTCTCCGAGTCTAAAGTGACAGAGGGCGAGGAGATAGGTTGAACCGGGAGCCTTGGAATCTTGGGCAACGAGTCGCTCGGCGAAGAAGAGGGCATTGTCGTATGAGAAATTGTCGAGGTGATAATGGATCACACGGCGAAGTATGCTGCCAGTTGTAGCATTGGTGTTTGACGGTGACATCCTTGATGATATGGCTCGAGGAGTCCACATCTATCAAAACGATCACTCTGGAGGCCTCACACGACGTCAATAGTTTGATGGTTAGAAAAACTGCTTCTAAAAAACACACGCACCTGCCAATCTCTAGGATCCAGACTATATGGAGTCTTTGTCCTGGATGTCTTGATTGTTATCTGTGCCTGGTCTTCTGAGGAGCATTTGGAGAGCAGGGCTAAGAAGACAGAGGAAGAGAAGAGGCAGCCAGCCTGGAACCAGGGGTGTAAGTCCTAAGAAGGGCAATACTCTAAAAATTTCAGAGCATTGCCCTATTCACCTGAAATGCACAATAGAAGATAGAAAATGATATGGTGGAACGGTCCATGGATTGGGCTTTAGGATCACGATTCTTGATAAAAGATGATCCATTGCCAAAGGTGGATGTGGGACAATGTGAATGTGAAGGAGTCTATTCTCACACATTGTACCTTCTACATTCTTTATGGGGTCAAAGAACCTGAACAATGGAGATTTGAATGGAGATTCTGCTTTCTAGCATGTATAAGTTACATTTCAACTCCGAAGCTGCCAATACCAGCAGGAAGCACCTGGTTGAGGTTCATCAAGCTTGCACTTACACAGAAGGTGCGAGATACCATAACAGTGTAAATTTAATCCAATACACACACTGTATTATAAGCGCATGACAACCTCGACCTCAAATTGAAGCTACGTTTTCCAAATTCCTTCCTACATCTCGACCTTCCACGATCAAACTCTCACCCCGCCTTCAAACGATCAGCCGCTCCAGCAAGGCCCATTCAAATTCTCTACTCCAGCCGCCGAAAAAAAATACAACCACCGAACCAACCCACCAAAAAGATACAGAAAAAATGGCCCAAAAAGCAAAAAAAGACCTCGCAAAATCCAACGCCGCCGCCCTCAAAAACCTCCACACCCTCTCCCTCCTCCTCAACGCCTCCTTCCTTGCCTTCTCCTTCCTCGTGCGCCCCCGCTCGCTCTACCTCTACTTCCTCCTCTCGACCCCCGCCTTCATCGCGGAACTCGTCCTTGAGCGCACGGGACGACCGAGCCGCGATGCAACCACGGGGGCCCTGCGGTCGGCGGGTCAGGATCTCGGTGCCGAGGGCCTGACGGGTAACTTGTTCGATGTGGTGTGGGTTACGTGGGCTTCGCTTGTCCTCGTCGCACTGGTGGGAGATAAGGGTTGGTTCCTTTGGAGCGTGGTGCCTGCTTATGGTGGGTATCAGGCCGTGAGGCTGCTGCTTAAGGCGAGGGGATTGGCGGGCGGGTTAGGCGGTGGGGCTGCGATGCCGAGTGATGTTGGGCCGAAGGGGGGGAATAGGAAGCAGAGGCGTGCTGGGGCGTAAGAATATGGCTTTTGTTACGGGGCAGGAGGGGAGGGCTGCGATGACCTTATGAGAACTCGGCTGATGGGCTATCCCCGAGGAGATGTAGACAACGCTATACTTGGGTTGATGTTATAGCGAGCCTTGAAAGATGCGCTGTTTGGCTCTGCAATGAATCCTGCGTCCCCGCAAATGGTAGCGTGTGCCTGTTTTAGGTCGCCCGCTCGCGTGGAAACCCCACCATCGTTGATGTCGAACGGCAGTATCTTCACTCAGCAGATGGCCTAGCTGTGTGTGGGATCCAGAACATTACACAGCAGAGACAGCACACACCAATACCTTACCGAAAGGCGGCGGCGAAGCCATTTAGATTCAGAACATTTACGATAGTATCATGAGGGCCTCCTCATACGTTTAATGTCATATTATACCCGTGTACACATTCACGTCATCCTGGAAGCGAAACTTGCAAATAGCTTCACATTCACATTCCAACCGCAGCTATCTACATTCCAAGTACACCCTCTAAGTTTTCAAACATTCATCATTCCTGCTCGACATTCCCCTCCTTTTCCAAAACTAAAAGAAAACAAACGCCTTCTCGCATGCGTACGCGGTCTATGCAGCCGATATATTTTGGGCTTATTAGCCTTCTCCGTATGCCCCGTCATAAAAAAAAAAGCACATGATGCCACCAATAAAACGGGCCAACTGGGCCGTATCTAGTTCCCCTTTTGTCCTCTACCTCCTCAACATCGATCCTATTTGGAGCCCCTTGTCTCGGCTCCTTCTAGTAAATACCCTGGGTCCTGTATTGGAAAGTATCATAACTATATAAGATGTTAGTATAAAAGTTTGGAATACAAAAGAGCAATATCATGGGCGTGTATGAACGCGATGGCGAAGGTGGAAAGGGGGGATCTCACAGGCGAGTGTAATAGCTGCCGAGCGACTTGCCAATCAAGTCATTCTCGACAAACTGCTCCGCCGCATCGGCACTGAGCTGTAGCTGGAAGCGCTGCCTCAAGCTGTTGGTCGCCGTCACCACGTTAGACGAGAAGCAGGGCATCTTAGACTCTTGGCCCATCATAGCTACTAAATCGATGATGTTATCGGCAGAGCGCCGCAGAGCTGCAAATCTGGTGTTAGCGGGAGAATAGAAAAAAAAAAAAAAGAGAACAAGACTGGGGCAAATGACACCTGCGCCTACCTTGGAATGCCTGCTTGCACAGCTTCTTGAAGTCCTCAAAGTCCGCCGAGGACTCCCCTCCCAGGACCTCCACATATTCATACGTAAGCTTGAAAGGAGCCGCCTCGAAACCCACGGAGCCCGGTGAGTTGGAAAGCATGAAGCCAAAGTCGATGTGGATGATATGCCCCTCGCTATCGATCAACACGTTGCCGTTATGCCGATCCTTGAGCTGCAGGACGTAAGAGATGATGCTGTACGCCGCCAGGGACCGCTTGAACGCGTCCACTCCAGCTTTGTACGCATCGCTACCCTCGGGGCCAAACGCCTTGAGAAAGTGATCCTTCAACGTCGCCATCTTGCGCCGCGGGTTCTGGCCGGACTCGATCGAGGCCAGCGTTAGACTGCGCCTGATGGAGTGAAGCGAGACGCCGTTCGTGATAGTCTCGATCAGGCCCGAAGATTCGCCCGTAACGAGAATCTTCATCAGCTTCACCCACACGTCGACACCGGCATCGACCCAGATCTTGTGACAAACGTTGATGAGCTGGCAGGCAAATGCCTCCTGCCTCAAGTCTGCACCGGTTTTGACGATGACGCTGACGAGATCCCAGTTCTTCATCCAGCCATAGGGGGATGTCGCGCGGATGCGCTCCTTCTTCGCTTGCCACGCCTCGCCGAAGACGGCTGCGCTGGGGTCGTCACGGTCGCCTTTGCGTTGCAAACCGCCGGTCTTGAAATCATTCTCCATCCTGGCTACTCCCGCACTGGCTTCGAGTGCTTGGTCTAGTCCCGAGTCCTCGTCTAGGTCCGGATTAGCCGCTGCCGCCGATTGTGTACTCGCTTTAGCCATGATCGTGTCGAACGTCGGGCCGTGGCCATCATCTAAATCGAAGCTTTGCTCTTCTAGGCTCTGCATGCTCGCAATAATCTTTGATCGAATCGCCTCCACCTCGTACTTGGGCCGCTTGCCGCTCGTAGCTTCGAGTTGCGAAAGCATTTGCGCCGCAGTGCGCATATGCGTGGCTAGTGCCGAGAAGTCTGGTTGGTCGAGAGATGCGTTGGCGCGGGGCTGCAAGGTCATTCTCCTACGACTTCTGCCACCAGGGCTGCTCGACCTAGATATAGAATTTTCTGCAGTCATGGGGGCAAGAGCCAAGTCGGATGATGATGTGTATGTCGCGCTTTTGTGAACGACATGATACGGTAGATAAGAGTTCGGGGACTTTGGGGGAAGCTCGTCCTCCGGCGTCTTTATCAGGGGTGAACTTCCGAGATCGCCGGACGTCGGCTCAAAGACGCTGTCGATAATGGGCTCAGATTGGCGAGGGTTCAAGTTCGAATTTGAATGTACTCTCGGGGCGTCGGACAAGTCAAATAACCTTCGTTTCGGTCCTTGCTCGGAGAGCAGCGTAGTGATCAACCGCTCATTATCTCCCGTATCAGGGTCGAAGTTGAAGTCATCCCGCAGAACCTCGACCATGAGAAGATAAGGTACCTTTTCAGCGCTGTTTAGAACTGTAGCTTCGGCAGGGTTTAACCTGACGATTCTGTGATGCCGGCTCTTGCTGGGCGAACCGTTGACCAAGGTTGGTGGGCAGATGACAGGGATGTCAACCTCCGCGGGCAAGTCTTGAGCGATAAGCGCCAACTCAGCTCGCAGTGCGCTCAGACGAGCGAGCTTCGGCACAATCACGAGACGATTCGAAATGGCCTCCAGAGCCGTTAGAAACTGAGTCTCGCTCCTAAAGTAATGTTGCCTCAAGAGTCTCGTCTTCTGTACGCGGGTCAAGTCTGACGCGGATCTTCTGGCCTTGATATGGTGCGAGTGCCTCCTGGACAGAAGGACGTTATTCGCCTGCGCTACTAGGCCCGCGGATATTGGAGTCGTCGGACGGGTTATCGTCTTGGAAGTACGGGTATCAGGGAGGGGCAACGAGGACGAGCTTAATCGGGCATCGAGGGACAGCATCTCAAATTGGGGTTTAATCTTGGACTCGACAGACGTCTTCGGAGGCTTCTTCGGGACGCTCGCGGGAGGTGGCCTCGTGATAATCGCGGGTGGGACCTTACGACTCGATCTTGTCGGCGAAGACGCCTCCTGGCCACCGCCACCACCACTCACGCTGCGAGGCCCTTCCCGATTACGCTTCGATCGCGATGTCCCCACTGTCACAGTTTGGGACCTCGTCGGCTTCGCGCTCTCCGGTCTTGTTTCGGCGATGAGGTCCACAGAAGGCTGAGGTTTCCGCGCCTGTGCAACGGCGAGAGGACCAGCCCAATGCGGCAGGATCGGCACGGCGATACTCGCGAGAACGAAGCTCGACAACACCGTCACCGGCAAAATGTTATCTCGAATCTTCTCATGGCGCGCAGTGTCGGACAATCCAAAGACAATATGTTGCACCTTGTTGTAAACTCTCGCGCAGGTCTGAAACGATTCGGTCTGGGGATGCGCCGACAGGTCATGGAGGTAGGTTTGGAATATCCAGAAGGTCTGGCCAACGAAGATTAGCGTCTCAAATGAGGGGAAGGTTGGCATGCCCCGGCATGTGAGCAGGCAATTGGGCAACGACGAACAAGGAGAGCCGCAGTCACAGATTCTTCGCACAGGTCCAGCAAGAACTCCTCCAGAGCCATTGACTCATTGTGAACGCTTATTATTATATGGCATAGCTGCGGGAGAAAGAATTCGATGTCCTCGTAGGGAAACTGCCGAAGCTTATTGCAAAGGACATATTGGATGCCTACATGGTCGGCGTAGCGCCTAGATTAAGTGAAGACGAACATGTCAGTACAGGGTAGTTTTGGACACGTTTAGCTCCAGTCTTAGCCGTGGGAGGCAAGCGATTGCTCGCGCGCAAAGGGCGGATTGGCCTCACGTTAGGTAGGACACGGCGAGAAAGGGATTCGAATTGAAGACGTCCGATTCGAGGAACCGTTGAAGAAGCGTCCACGACATTGGGTTAATACCGGTTCGTTCCTTGCTGAGGAATGCGGAAAGGAGAGATGGGAGACGGCGGTAGGATTCTTGAAGCGGCGTGCCTCAGCCAGCTCTCGTCGGCACTAACCAGAACCGGAAGCAACAGCTCTTTGCATGGCTAAAAACGACAACACGATCGTCCTACCCAGCAGCATGCAGTAGGATCTAGATATGTGCAGGCGGAAGGAATGAAGAGAATATCGTATTCGACTTTGCCAAGAGATCGTGAATAGTACCACCTGCTACATCGGAGTTGCTCCTGCCCGTGTACTCCGGCTGGGCGATCTTTTAGTTGCCTGAGGTTTACGTAAATTACTAAGCAAGAGAGATGTGAAGTGATCAATTGATGATGGTCCAAGTCTGCAGATGAACGAGGGGCCGAGAAACCTTGGCTTGACATCATTGCTGGAACCGACGGCTCCTTTGCGGATAGGGCGCTCCACTAAAGGGGACTAAAAATGCGACGAAACTCGACAAAATAGCGGTGGCCGTTCTACGAAGTACAAAGCTGGCTAGCTTGTCTCACGAATTTCCAAAGTTTGTTTGTACCTGTGAAAGTTGGGCAGTGAGTCTCGGGGTTCTCGGCTTGGCGCTTTTCAATACCTTGGTAAAAAGTAAAGTTTTCAAGTCTTTGAAGCACAATGCAAAGCAGGTCTGAGGTGGGGACAGTCATTCTCTCCTCATTCGAGATACGCAACGCAACCGTGTGGGTGTTAAATCTGTGAAGTGCTTTTTGGTAGCCATTAATGTTCAATTCATAGTACTTCGTGCAACCGAAATCTAGACATGCGAGACCATGTTCCAGTCTCCTACTCAGAAAAATATCTCAGGGTCTAACGGCTACGCATTTTTCAAAGCTTAGGCTTGACACAGCGGGAAAACGTCTTCACATCGTTGGGCTACACAGAAAGGAGGTGGGGAGACAGGGCAAGATTGTTCAAAGCTCCACCCAAGCTTGAGCGACTAATAGGGCACGATTGGAGTAAAAGGACCAATAATCATCATCCTGTAGTAGGGCTCTGTGAACCGAGCTGGGATATATGTATTCGAAGAGTTTGTGGATATCTAAGTGCAACCGGAGACTCCCGCGTGGGACTGTACTGTTCTGCTTGGTGAGACAGTTAGAACCACATGAAGCCTCAGGCTGGCTAATATACTCCCCAACGCCGGTACACACAGAATATGCATGTTCAAAGTCCACCGAACCCACCCCAAACGCCAAACGTAACGCTGAGTCATTTTTGAAGAGGAGAAAAAGGATTCCGAGCCGTCAGTGATGACGCCAACAAGAGCGTAGTTTAGGCAGTTCTCTTCTTGCGGCCGCCACCCCTTCCCCTTCGCTTGGGCTCTGGGACCTCCTCGTCGCTATCGGATTCTCCCTTGACCCTCGAGTTTTTCGTCTTTTCCTCACCGACTTCCACCTTGCCGACGATGTCCCGGAGGAAATCAAACTGTTCATCCGTCTCGACAACTTGCTTCAACATCTGTGCAGTCACTCGCTTTTGGCCCTTTTCCTTAGCCACGTCGGCACTCTTGGAAACCATCGAGATCATGAAGAGCTCCAGGGCCTTGCCAACAGCGATTGGGGTTTGCTGAGCAACCTTGCCCACTTCTTCGTCCGCCTGCATAATCCTCTTGATCCTGGCGGTAGGGAACTTGGTCCGGACGGGAGAGGGTTCGATGACGGGGGCCTGAATGGCAGGCTGCGCGGCTCGTCGTCGAGGAGGCATATTTTCCGTTTGTTGATTGGGCGGGACCGAACCGCTAGGTAACTGAGGATTTGCGTAGGCCTGGGGATAAGACGAAATATGGACGTGTTGTTGCAGCGGAGCGGTGTAGGTCCCAGGAGGAGAATATTGTGGGTGTTGTTGGAAGTGAGGGTCGTGGTGGTTGAAGTGTTGTTCCTGTTGCTGGTGCTGTTGGTGTTGCTGCTGAACGGGATTTATAGGATAGGCTCCGTGACCGTAGAGGGCAGGTTGACCTTGAATGGTAGAAGTGGGCGGGTGGGGTTGAAATTGGGGCGAGTGCTGGTGTTGTTCGTGTTGGTAGTCGTGTTTGTTCTGGGCGTATTGGTGGTGCAGTTGTGGCGCAGGTCCTCCTGGTGCAGCCTGGGTGTATGCAGGACTCGATACCGAACTGGTGGGAAATTGATAGGATCCGACAGGTTGCTGTTGGTAGTGTTGGTATTGGAATTGATCGTAACCAGACTGTCGGGTGTGGTTGTCGAGAAGAGGGATGTTGTTAGGAGCTGGAGGAAGCTGGGCGAGAAAGGAAGAAAAATCTGGGGATTTGGGGACGTAGCTGGTGTCCTCGTTTCCCGCCATGGCCATGGTCAGTGTGGGTTAATTATATTCAATCAATCAGCGCGCTGTGCTGTGCAGGCAGGTGCTATGCACAATGCAAATATTAGTCCTGATTGAGTTGGCGTGTATTATTTGATTGTTGGTGTCCGCCCCAGGCGTGGATAAAGCGTGGCTTGCTAGTGCCAAATCGTCGAGTCGTTCTAGGGCTTCCCGACGCCAAATGACAATGAAGAAAATACCAAGCTGGATAATAGAGAAAAAAGAAGTACGTGACGTATTCCTTTGTCTTGGATAACCAATAAAGGGTCGCCGGCAGGATTTTGAGGTTGATGCGCGTCGAACAGGCTGACGGGGTTGCAGTGTTGTTGGCCCGGCCAGCCAGCCAGCCCTGACGGGTGATAGTGGGGTAGCTTCGGTATAAGCTCGAGTCCCCAGCAACTTGGGGGCCGTTTCGAGTCGCTCGTTGGATATTGATGTTTCAGTTGGTTAAGAGACGCGAGTCGCGTCGGTTTGAGAGGTAATTAAAAGGTATGTATATGCAAATGAGATTGGAGGGGGGGAAAGGACTAAATATTGATGAAAGGAGGCTGAAGTCGCAAGTCGACGCAAAGAGAAGCAAAGGACAGGCCAGATATTGAACGAGCACCAGGCAGTTCCTTTATGAGTAAGAATCCGAGAGTGAAAGAGGCCGACACATTGATAAGTCCGACATTTGCAAAGTTGATCAGGCCGCGAGCGGTCGGTTTGTTTCGATAGATAGATGAGAGGGAATAAATAGACAGCCAGTTTCTAGGGTTGAAACGAGCTGATGTTCCTGGATAACGGCAGGGTGACAGACTGAATCTGTAAGATCTTGAGTCTGATGGTCAAGCGCCGCAGACGAGATGATGAGATCACACTTGTGCTGCAGGGTAAATGGTAGGGCTGAGGAGAGCAACTCGATAAATGCGTCGTGGTGCTCCTGGGTGGATGGAATGGGTCATGCAGGCTCGCCCAGCACAAGGAAGAAGCGTGACAGATGGCTCAAGATCAAACAACCTGAAGAGATGGAGAGGTGCGCAAAGCGAGCGAGGCGGCGAGAGAGTATGTTAAGAATCGTTAGCGTGTAACTGTGCCTAGCATGGTGGGTACTAACGGATGTTAGCAGTCTAATTGCGTTGGCACAATGCGGATCGGTCCAGATTGGGTGGGATGCTTGGTCGTTTATATGCGCGACGCGGTTGCCCCTCCTCTCCAAACAGACAGCAGGGGTGCACAGCTGCCTCTTTCCTGATTTGGCTAAGTACAATTGTAGCATCAGAAACGCCACATCTCTGTTGCGCTTGCTTCTTTCCTTAACCCTACCCCACCCTTCCTGCCAATTGCCAACATTGACATGATGAAAACCGTGTACGAAGTACTTTGTGTACTTGACATGGAGGTACAGAGACCCTGCAATAACATTGTCAGCGCCCACGCACAAAATCAAGCTCTGCGATGATGTACAATGTACCATCAATCAAGCCTCAGTAATTTCACGTGGTCCCCCTCCAAAACCTTCACTGACTCGACATCACCCATCGAATTGATGGCTTCTCCGAGCATCCAGCGATGTGACAACATAATTGAATAACCATTCCTCGGCGCCTTCGACTAGTAGCAGATGAGTCGTTGCGCATCTCATATTTCCTCACTTTAACCCGACGGATTTCGCCCATACCCTAATGGACTCAGCTCGGACCGGATGGAGCCTGCTGCCTAGCTCTGACACACTTTCGTTTGCCATCTTTCGGTTTCTACGTGCCGACGGCCTGCTCTGTTCCTTGAGCAGGAAGCTGATTTATTGGTGCTTCGAAGTGTACAAACAAAGAGCCTCTGAGGTGAGCAGGCTTTAACCTTGAGCACACCTACCGACATGTCAACCAAGGTCTCCTCCCGTCATGCTCAAGTCATGGGTGATGATGAACAAACGTATAGAGCTTATAAACGTTTTCGCCCGAGGCACGAGATACCTACCTAGGGAACGAAACCGAGCGCTTCGCTCTGGGTTCTCCCGGGGTGGGGTGCCGTTGACGGTTTTACTTGATCTAATCTGACATGACTTGATGGCTGAGGAGCAACTGACAAGAGGGCGTGCTTTTTTTATTCACCTTTCTTTCTTTCTTTCTTTTCGTCGGCCCCTTTCCCCTTTTGTGTATGACTGAGAGAAGCCCATAGCTGCCTAGAACTTCTTTACTACCATTGATCAAGAACGGTTTGTCTTAGATAATTGCAGAT